TTTTTTTTGCTATTTGTGCTCCACCACCTTCTCAGTTTTCCTTTGCCAGTGACAATGCACATGTACATAGCACTAAACTGAAAAGAAATGATGACTTTCTTTTTTTGACGGGCAGCCCTCAGAACTTTACATAACAGATGTGACTGGCTAATGTTTTTAAATGAATCACCTTATTTAAACTTTACCCTAGAAGTGTTGTCTTTCCAAAAACAATACTGAATTTCTGTACAAAAAGCTTTCACTTAAAAGAACACATCACAGCAAAATATTGTAATTCATATATGATCGTTTTATAGTTGATTATTACCTCTCCAAAATATTACAAAGTAATAAAGAACCTCCAAAATACTACTAATAAAGAAATTGCTTATTCCACTTAATTATTATAGAAATTAAGCAAAAAAGAAAAAGTTATGTGGGACAACTAAATTCAGATAAAACAGGAAGTCTACCTTAGGCAACATATGAAGTGCAATCTTCATTGCACGTGTGTAATTTGAAAAGAAATATTGTTAGTGAAAATATACTATTTTTAAAGAGGCACTAAAAAGTAGATTCACAAAAAAAAAAAAAAAAAAAAAGTTCGCCAAAAATTATTCTCATAGATTTTATTGCTGTTGATGTGATTTGGGGAAAGTCTAATAGACACCTTGGGGTTTCACTCACAGCTTCCTGTATAAAAGGCTCCGACTTCTGGCCCGGGCGAGGAGAATTCCTGACACTGCGGTGACAGGGCGAGGTCTCCGTGGCAGACGCGTGCGGGGCAAGGGCGCCAGCGCCGGGGCTCGCCGGGCCACCGCCGAAAGCAGCGGCCGCAGGAGGGCAAGGGCGCCCCGGCCGAGCGGGCCCCGGGTACCTGCCGCCCRCAGCGCAGCACGTCCCGCGCGCGGCGCCGCCTCCTCCCCGCCCGTCCCTTCCCGAGCCATCCGCAGCGCCGCGCTCGGGAACCGCTCCCGCGGCAGCGGCGCCGCCAGCCGCGGGCACCGAGCGGCGGCCGCCGGGCCTGGGCCCCACCCGCGGTTGCGGGGCCGCGGCTGCTGCCGAGCGTCCTCGGAGGGCTCCAGAGTCCCCGGACGGCAGGCGCTGCTCGACGTGAGCTCAGCCGCGTGTCCGGGTCCGTCCCGAAGAAGTCGGTGCCGCAAACGGCCCGGCCCAGCGCAGCCCGCGCCGCGTCCCGCGCGCGCACGACGCGCTCGCGCCGCCGCGGACACTCACTTGAGGAAGTAGCGCTGCCCCGTGTGCGTGAGCGCCATCTCCCAGCCGGGCGGCAGCGGCAGCTCGTCCGTCACGTCGTAGGAGCGCTGGCGGAGGTGCGCGTGCTGCGGCGCGCCCGCCGCGCCGCCCGCGCCCGCCGCGCCGCCCAGCAGCGACGCGGGCGACGAGTGGGAGCGGACGTGGTGCGCGGCGGCGGCGCGCGGCGGCGGCCCGCCCGAGTCCGTGCTCGACTGCCGCGAGTGCGCGCCCGAGTCGGGCTCCCTGAAGAAGGACTCGGGCAGGATCTTCTTCCTCCAGGAGCTAGGCCGCGGGTTCATGACGGCGTTGAAGAGTGCCTCCAGCTCCGTGTCCAGGTCCTGCGCGACGTGGATCACCTGCTGCCCCGGCGGCGGCGGCGCGGGCGCGGGGTTCATGGTGCCCCGCTGCGGCGGGCGCGGCGGCGGCGCCGGGAGC